GGAAGGGAGACAGGAAGGCTGCAAGGGAAATAAATTGTGAGGGGCAGAGGGCACCTGACCATCCTAGGCACTATTTTCCCCGCTGAAGTAGTGGGAGGGGGAATGAAGTCATTATAACAAATGTATTCATTTTTTATATATAAAATCTAATTATTGGGGGGGGTCATCTTGTATGAGTAAACCGTATTTTTTTCTTCACAGCAAAAACAAGAAACAAAAATTATTGAAAAAAACCCAGAATCTTCAGAAAGATTTAATGTTCCAGATAGACAGCTGTAATTTCATTCTTCGATGTTTCTGTCTGTATGCTGAACACAGCTAGGAAATGACAGTACAGTATTTACAGGCTTAGTATTTAGAACCTTAGTATTCAGACTACATGCATTAAATGCAGACGTTAACAGAGAAGGTAGATTTTTACACAGAGACAGTTGAACATTGCAAAGCTCAGATCAAGTCTGCCGTATTTCAGCAGGTCACAAATTTCATGGAACACACACACACACACACACACACACACACACACACACACACACACACACACAGAGTAATTAACTCAGCAAAGCTTTTGGTACCAACGTGTTAAGAGTCAGGCCCCTTTCAACAAAAAGTCTAATTTTCTCCAAGACTCGGCTGAAATTCCAAAGCACAAAAAATCCACATTACTACTCTTCTGCAGCACTAAACCTCACAGGTACAATAAGCATGTTAGTTAGGTCCCATCTACACGTTACACTCAAGGCACATAGGACGGGACCTAACCAGTTAATCACACCTTAAATGGTCACCCAGCCGAATGTTCAATCAATTAATGGAGTAATAAAAAGAGGAATAAACTACAAAGTTTATTCCACAAAATGTGGAATAACTTTGTAGTAGCTTACTATCATGCCATTAACTGAACACGTGGCCGGGGCCCCTGTAGCTGTCATGTGCTCCCATGTGCACCCCCAATGCCTGGAAGCTCCCAGCTGACAGGACTCTAAGCCATGGGCCCCCCCCCCCGCAGCTGCTGCAATCTCCCAGCTGTGGGGCTGCGTAAAGCCCCACCTCAGCTCAAAGATCCAGCCAGGGAAACCTGGGATTGGGCTCCCCCTGCACTGGCAATAAGGTGTGACAGGATCTAATACACAGTCCACAGCCCACATGCCACATGTTCATGGCAGGAGGTGCGTCTCTGCAAATCATGCATCAGATCCCATTGTTCCTTTACCCGCACATGTAGAGGAGCCCTTAATTTGCACTAAACAGAAATCTGGGCCTAGTTATTTCTTGCACATTGAACTGACTAGAAAAGTGATTCACCCAATACCTCTTTTTAATCTTATTACATGGCTAATTAAATGTGCAAACACACTCTTATATTTGCCTACTGTAAAGCTTAAAAAAGGAGATCATGATCCAAACTGATTATAGTAAATGAGATGTTGGCATCCAGATCAAGTCTTTTGTATTTTAACTAAGGGTGCAGACAGAAATTATATTTTTCAAGTGATCTGGCCCCTGAAAGCACTCTACAGCCAAGTTCACACATGCACGGCTGCAGAGCACTTTAAAAATGGCCAACTGCATGAAAAATTTACCCTGGTTAAGCAGGTATTACATTCAGGTGCTCAAAAGCAGAGTGCTTAGGGAACCTGTGCTTTGCACAGGAGATGGGGTTGGACTGGTGCCCTGCCCTGCCTCCTGGACTCTCAGGGGGAAAAAAGAGGGAGCTCCCAGCTGCTGAATGGCCAGAGCTTGGGGGGTGGGGAGGACGGGAAATGAGATCCCCCTCACACCTCACAGCCCACCCACTGGAGGAGCTGGATCGGACTCCTAAGCAAGAGGGCTTCATTCCCGCCGCCCCCCCCCGCCCTTCACCCCTTCAGCTTTGGCCATTCAGCCGCCTCCTGGGAAGCTGCTGCAGTGCCCCTGCCTGTTGGCTTGGGATGGTGGAGACTGTCTCCAAGTCCCCCCTCCCAACCAACCCAACAAGTGAACATTGGTTGGGGTGAGGGGCAGCAGGGAAGGAGTAACTCATGGTACCTTATGAAAAGTGCCATGGGTTATTCATAGATTCATAGATGTTAGGGTCGGAAGGGACCTCAATAGATCATCGAGTCCGACCCCCT